TTCCCATTACACGTGAAACTGCATACGTGATGTTGTTGGGGCGGCAGTTGTTGATATTAGCCATAGGCCCGTGTTTTCATGTTCACATACTTTCTCTTTCTGGTATTCTGCTGCTGCGCCTACTCTTCTATTTACCTTCTGGTTGAAGACAAACAACCCTACATTTAAACTGAAGTGAAGCTGGACTTCAGACCATTTAAGTGAATTTACACGTCTCCCCTCAAGCTGTCAGTTCATAACTACTCAAATTCCATGAACGATCCCATGCTACCATTTGAAGACGCTGGCCAGCATTCTGTACAAGGAGTACTCATGATCTGAAATAAAGAGGCAACTGGTTTTCAAACAGTTTTCAATGTCTTACTCAGCTTACGTGTACAGTCTGTCATTCAGACACAAATGGCACCAATGGAGAGTCCTGGAATCGACCTCGGCCCCAATTGATGCCGTAAAACAATCCAACATGACCTTATCTAGTTTTCGTATCCACAAACAAATTTCTTTCCTGTTACAAAACTACAACAAGACTGCAGAAAAAATGGAATAAAGATATCACTGATCTCAACATAATACATCAATAAACTTTAAGTCAATGATGTTGTTCACAACAAAGTTATATAGGAGAACTGACTTCAAGCTTTTTTCCCCAGATATTAGTAGTACATTTATCTAATATCTGGGTTTTTTTAATGCGAAGACAGTGTTTCTATATCTCTTTCTGTGTTACACAAACAGACTATTAAGCAGACTGTTCCGACTGACTCTAATTTCAGAAAGAACAGCCAAACTGTACATTCACCATACAACAAAATAAGTGTAACTTATATAATAACTTATTCATGCCCGTACAATTGGTATGTTCCTGAATAAACAGGAATAAAATATATTATTATGGATAGGTACAATATAAGACTTCTTCCAGCAAGTACAGTACGTCCCATCACTTAGTGGAATTGAGTATAACTCGAGTAGGAGTAAATTCATGTAATTACCACCGTTTTTCGGTAGAAGGAAAGATATACCTGTCTGGACCAATAGTATTACTAAGCTTAAGATTTGAGATAGCTTTATTGATCTCGTGTGTGGTGAAAAGTATGTCACTTAAACATTTGTCCGTTTTACGTGGGAAACCCACGACCTCATTGTTCTCTAAGGTGTATCGTCTGGCAAAGTGCTTGCTAAACAGTTCACATATCACCTTGGTATTCTCGTAAGCAATGCCGTCTGAGTGTATGATTTTTGGATAGGCTGTTTTGGAGTTTGTTACCCTACTTTTGAAAAGTTTCGCTATTTCTCCTGGGTTATGTGGTGGCTGAATGGACCGCATTTCTTTCTTTCTAAGGCTTATGTTTTTTAACTCTTGAATTCTAGTGAGAAGAGACGTAGTAGCAATTATTGATGACAAGTCATGATATCTGTCAATGTAATTGAAGAATGAACGATCAATTCATGGTTGTTTACTGAAAACCAACTCCATATGTTGGCGGGAGTCACTGATACTGCAGTCATCATTCCATCGTTCGCTGTTCGTTAGAAGACGGAGAATACTATCAGAGGTATTATTGTGATTAATTGTTATGACATTTATTCTTAGACTTTGTGTATAATAGCCTTATGGTTGGTTCCATATTGGTGCAAGAATAAAGGATTCTCGAGTCACTAATCTGTGTTATTTTTTTTCGCGTTGGTTATTGCACATTATTGCTGAAGGTCTTCTAAGGACAGCGTTAAGTTCAGTGTTGTTAAACCTGGACCTTGACAATATCTGAAGTATTTCATTGAGTGATTTCGCAGACTTCTCCTTAACAATGTCGGGACATAATCGCTTTGAGGGAATTCGAAGGTAACAATCTTTTCAGGTCAATGACACCATGAATTGAGTTAATATTGTGATAAAAATTGTTATGAATTGCCTCCGAGGACTCGTTCGAAAAGTGTGAGTCCCAATTAGAGCATCTAATGAGGTGCTGATACAAGTCACCATGTGTGTGCAACCTTAGAGGTGTCTGGTCAGCTTCATCTATGCGTTTTGTTTCAGGAAAGATTTTAAAAGAACACCACTATTTTATGGTCACTACCTGGAAAATCATGTCCCAGATGAATTGTGGATGGTATTGTGTTGTTCGTGAAATTAAGGTCTAGGAAATTTGCGGATCTTGTGAATTTATGTGTTGCATCCACCCTCCTTTGACAATGGAATTCAGGAGGTCGTCATACCTTTGGGGCCCTCTGAGTGAAGACCATGATACTTCTGGCATATTGAAATCACCTCCGATAATTTTATTACTGAAGTGAATATTGGCTGTAACATTAAAAATGTTGAGCATATTATCATACTCCCTGCTGTTAGAAGGGCGCCGGTACACCCAGCCCACAAGAATAGGTTTACTTCTGACAACTTTCATTTCGACCCAGATCGAGTCATTGAGTTGTGACAGAATTAGGTTGCTGAACTGGGTTGCACACATGGATTTTTACACAGTAAACTAGTTTTCCACCCCAACGGACCGTCTGTTTTTCCCCTCGAATAAGGCTGTAACTATCTATTCTTAGGCTATCATTACGGATTTCAATTGTGCACCAGGCTCCAGTGATCATAATCAATGACGGTCTGCATATAGAAGCTAATAAACTTAGTGTTGAGTGTTTGTTTAGAACCGATCTAATATTTACTAGAATAATAAATAAACACTGGTTATGTGGTTTCAGTGAGCGGACAACATTTTGATAAAATAATCTGTGATTATCCTCTATATACATGTTTTTAGACTCATTTACCAATATCTTTGGATCATAGGAAGACTTCAGGTAGATTTGTGAGGTAGTAGTCAGGGGTGGTCTTTCGTTTGGATACGGTATACAGTGAGAGACACCTGTGTGGTAATCAGATATTAGTATTTTAGAGATATTAACCGTATCCGCGTTTGGTGTCCACACTGTGTCAGCTATCTCCCGGAAAAAATGCCTCGCCTTGGCTGTAGACTGTTCGTTATGCCAGCAGGGAATTGATCCAATATCATGCGTGCTATATGCATGATGCCAGGTATTTCTATTAACTGATGCTGGTGAAATTCCTGCCCAAAGGTATAACTCATATGAGTATTCAGTAATTTGTTGCCAGTATATGAATGAAGTGTTAGTATCTGTTTCGGGTAGTCATCAGGCCATAGCAAGTTTTGTGCAGACATAGGCACATGCTCCCTACTAGATACATAATATGTATGAATGGGTTCTGTGGGCTTATTCAGCTTACTAAATGTAGTCTGTAACCGATGTTTGGGGGATTTTCTATAAGTTTCAGTTGATAGAACATTAGAAGGGGACTGGAAAGCAGCGTGTCGGCGTATTGAATGAGCAGAATAATACCGATTACATAGCTGCGTTGTTTGTCTAGAATTAGTGGTTGGATATAATTGGCTTTCCGCTTGAGACCAATTAGGCATACCTCCGGGAGCTTGGTCTATCATGTTTGAATTTCTCCTAGAAAGATGGCTTAGAGGTGCTTGCGTCTCTATCATGTCAATGGACTCTCGTGTTCCAGGTTCAGTATTTAATTTATTTACTTCGGTTTCCCTTTTCTATATATAAGGTTTCTGTTGCTTGGACCCCTCCGGCTCTTTTTCAGTGACCAATGTATCACACTGAAATTTCCATAAACCAATGAACAACTGGTTTATTTTTTATTTGACGTATTCATTAACGATGGTGTGAAAAGAGTGCAGAGACATACAGTCTCACCACAACACACAGCCGTGCACTTGAAAACTCAACTGTTCGCAACCTAATACACATAACACAGATGGACACGCTAAATAACAAAAGTGAAATGGCAGAAATCTAAATGAATGGACGAACTTCTTTGGTCATATAAGAATTACGAAGTCAACATGAAAATTGAAGAAACGAATATACTACAGGGATAATTTTCCTAAGTGCCACATTGCATATCTGTGTACTTTGACCCCCTTGCATGCCATGTACCCTCTCACCAACTTCTGCACGCCACACTGAAGGTTTTGCCAGACATATCTTGCCAAGATTATTTTTCCTGAACATTTTGTTCCGGGGCACGATAACAACTGAAAATTACAGAATATAGCGTCCCTCATGATTTTAGGGACGAATGGCCCAAGGGAATCTTTTGTGGTGTCACAGTATAAAAATTTGTCATCTACAGGAGTTGGTAATTATCCGAGCTTGAGACTAGAGTTATTTGCAGTGAGGATATGCCTTCATCGTGTTTTGATTTTCTGCCATTGTTTTGAAGTTTCCAGTGATTTCTTGCACAGTATCCACGTGCATTCCGGCTTGTGCATCAGCCCCACAGTTTTCCATGCCCTCCAGGAGTCTTATATCACTAGTAAACTGAGATATAAAATTATGGTGATGAATTTCACATTGTAAATATTTGTCCCGTCCTCGAATCGGGCACGAAAGTGAGAAGCTTGTGACCTGTGTAGATCGTAAATGGTCTATCATCCGACATGCGAAGAAAGTTTTTAACTGCTAGGTACATTGCTAGCTATATACTTGCATGGTGGAGGGCTGATAGAAACAGCCAGACCTTGTTTAAAGTTTTATTCAAAATGTATTAATACGTGGGCATCACCACATGTGTAAACACTTATGACGCCAATTTTTGTCTTCTTATTGCACCATAGACTATAGTCAAATTTAAGGAATAACTTCGGACTTGGTTTCCACACACTGGAGAGAGTAATTTTGAAAGAAACAATGGATAAATAACCAAACTGAATACAGACTATGTGGATGCACACAGCTGGTTTTGTAAGAGGATGTTAAATGTTGGTTTCAACTAATGGAAACAGTGCTTTCCGAGTCTTTATTTCATTTTCTGAAAAGTAAAACAGAAACGCACCGGTGTTTACGAATGCAAAATTAGCATAGGCTGCGAGAATTTAATCAACAAAGTGGATGTTTGAATCTCAACTGTGTTTACTCCAATATTGTTGTTTAGCATCAAAGCACTATTTGTTGGTTAGTAGTACAATCGCCGCGCAAATTGGTTGCGATGCTGAAATGACAAATTTGAAGAATGACTACTGAAATAGAGCCGCACATATTGAAGAAGTTCGAAATCAAGAAGAGAATAGGAAAAGGGGTAATTTAAAATTTTTTGGTGTCGGAACTTTGGGACAGCATTCACAAAGACGATATTAGACAGCATTTTATTTACCCCGATATGATTTTAGGAAATACCGAAAGCTCCACTATCTTGAGCTGACTATCACTCTATATTATATACAGTGTTGAATTTGAGATGACAAATGTCTTTGGTGTTAGGATATATATTCACATATTTCAGTTTGTTACCAAATTTGACCATGCGAACCTCGTTTTTATTATCACTGTGGTTTTTATTAGGTTGTGATCGTGGCATATTTCACCTATCTCTTTGAATACTTTTATCTGGTCTCATTCATGTCTTTCTGCATATATGTTTCATTTCGACCTTCAAAAAGGAGGCACATATCCTGGAAAGAGTACAGAGGGTTGGAACGAAATCGGTTAGTCGTATCTCACACCTTCCTTCCTTCCTTTTCCATTATCATACCGCAGGAGGAGAGGTGACCTTATTTTGGCTTACCGTATATTAAAGGGTGATCTAGGGATTGACCTTTCAAACCTCTCTCTCACCACAAGAAGGTACTCAAACCGAGGTCTAATAAAATACGTGTGGAATTTAGATTCTCTCACAGATTGGTCAACGACTGGAACTCCTTACCTGATTCAGTAGTAAAAGCTCCATCGGTGAACGCCCCAGCCAGCAATTTTTTTGGGGCAGACCTAGGGCGCATTGCAGATTTTTTGGGGCACTTCGGGCGCATTGCAGACTTTTTGGGGCAGACTTAGGGCACATTTCCGATTCCGACTTTAACTTAGGGCGCATTGCAGACATTTTGGGACAGATTTTGGGGGCATTGCAGACTTTCTGGGGCAGACTTAGGGTGCATTGCAGACTTTTTGGGGCAGTCTTCGGGGCGAATACTCAAGAACGGCAATGCGCCCAAAGTTTTTTGCCCCGAAGAAATGCTAGCTGGGGCTTTCAAAGAGAAACTGGATCTCTGCAGAGATATTCAGATTTCAGATTTATTAGTTGAGGATAGAAGACTTGGAGCCTATGTTATTCCTTTTCTAGTAAATTTCTGTGGCTGTCCAAACCATTCTTGAATGAATCAGTTGAGGCTGCAGACACCACTTCTTCGGGGAGTCAGTTCCAAGAGTTTATGACTCGGTGTGAGAACCAGTACTCAACAGCAATATGATTTCTTCTTGGCTTTTGAATTCTCCTGCTATGTCCTCTAAGGTGTTCCGACCTGGTGGGAAGGAAAAGATTAACATAGGCAACAAGAGCCTTCTATCCTTATAATTTGAATCTGAATCTGGTATTTGGTCAGACAAACAACTGTACGTGTAATGTAACTGAATGCGGAAACAACTGAGTTAAGTAAACTCTGGAATTCAGTTCCACATATCAGATTTTCAAACATGAAGTACTTCTTTCACTGAACTACTCATCTTAACTATTTTCAAGCAGAGGGAGGATGTCTACTCGGTAAGAGACATTCGTAGACATTGGAAAAGTACGATGTACTACTTATAAAATGTGAGACGTACCGAAGGAGTGGAAAATTTTGACAATTTACATGCATGCAGTGGGATAAGTGGGTAATTTTCGAGACAGGTTTATTTAAGAGGTGGAAAAAGTGGGGTATGGTGTTGCATTTCATCCAAGTTTTGCCGGTTCCAAATTACTAATATATGTCACGTTTTATACGTGCATTCCCTATTTGAGTGATATGAGGCCAATAAATTTCTTTAGGTGGTCTAAAGTTTGATAAATCAGGTCAAAGAACTACTGGTTTACATCGCTGATATTTTTCTTCTGAACCCTTCTCCTATTTACTTGATCTGACTAGCAGTGTACGAAAAATTCACCAGGTTATAATCCTTATTAATTTATGAGGACTGATAGTAGCAACAACAACAACCATGATGCTTCCCTGAATGTAATATTACATACTCGAGTGTTCTAACTGCTGATGCCCTTAGCTATTGAGGGCTTGACTGCTTCATGGGTCACATATATTTTGTCCAGTTAAACTCAAATCAGAGCCTACTGTCTTCTGAAACTCCTGCGTAAAAATATTAAAATATGGCCTTATACCACACCAGCGGTCTAAGCGCTATTTTATCTCAACGTCCTCCGAAATGGCAAGTTGGAAATAGCTGACAAAGAACTTACGGTTTTAAGTGGTGATTAACTGAGAAGCGAAAATCAGTAAAATTTCACTACTGTGGGCGTGATTTGGATTAAAAGCAATGCAAGTGAATTAGATACATTCAAATCGTACATTGAATTTTGTATTGATGTAAATTTTCATAATTTGTATACCTTCTTGATTTATAAACTCAATGAATTCAACTATACGGGAGGTATTGTAAAAAGAATGTTCTGATTGGGCTTATTGATTTGAATAATAACTGCTCAACTGTAAAGGTCTGAAATTAAAAAAAACGAATAGGAATGTGTCTTGTAACAACTATGAAGACCGAAGTGTTATCTTAATTTCTTTTTAATCAGTACTTGTCAACAAAATAAAATAAACATTCATGTTGATTAATAATCTTGTTTTAAGTTCACGTTAAAAAGATGTAATGTTATATTTACACTGCAAGGAAAGAAACTAATGCACTAAAACTCCTATGAAAATGTGGTAAACTCTAAGAAAGCACTGATTAGAGTTTACAGAGTTAAGACAGATTTCGTGAATTTTTGACACAGAGCGTTTTTATAAAAGAAAATGATGAATATATATATATATATTCCGAATCAGATGCTAGTCTTTCTTGTCCAGTATGTATCAGAGCGTAAGGTTAGAACAACAGATAATTGGCCAGTGACTACCGCCTTAGATTTGTGGTTAACGAATCAGGTACACACAGTGCATCGCATATACTGATTTCGAAGTATAGTGATACTTTATTCATATTCACTTCAGACATTTAAAGTTACCCCGTTTGAACTACCGTGCTCAGGTTAGGCTATCGTTTAAGTATCGACAAGGCCAAAGCTTGTAATCAAATGCCCTGCACAAAGGTTCACTCATTTATATCTGAAATCAACTTGGAGGAAGCTGTGTTTCACTAAGTTTTCCCATTTGTCAGGGTTTGTCAACAGAACACCATAAAACCCTCAATAAACTTTTATTATACGGGAAACGCAAACCTCTATTTATTTTCACAGTTGGCCGCGAGTCTACACTAATTCACATCCTCATCTGACCATATTATTATGTCCTACAGTGAGTCATTTGTAAGCTGCAGAAAATATTTAGTAATGAGACCCACCGTTAAATTAAGAGGAAGTTCAGAATAATAACTTGTATAGAAGGTGAGTGTCGCGGCCTAATGTCCTGTCGGATAACGTTTTAGTGTGTGAAAGGATGGTTGTTGTAAACGAGCCTCATCGAGAGCAGTATTGATCACTAGAGTGGGTTGTAAGGAGACTGAGCAGACGCATCCTTGATCTCTCCTTCAGCCACCATTATCCAGATTCTTTACCTTGGTGCATTACTTTGTTTTAAGTAATTTCATTTCAGTGAATTAGTTGTTTTATAGCACCTTGCTATTTAGTATTGAATTTCTAAATATTTTAATGAAAATCATAGTTACTAGAGTTCACCAACTTGTATGAAGAAGATACAGCCAATTACTAGGAATGCTGGGTGACGACAACATTACACCACGAACTGATAGAGGTTGAAATTCATGTGCGGCCTCATTCACCTTAACCACTGAACAACAATATGTTCATCTGATAATGTGATGCTCTTTGGCGTTATACTGGTAAGGTGATGAATGTTCAGTAAGGAAGACTGTCAGACTAGGATGAAACATCCATCAATCAACTTTTGGTCCTCAGTGGTCGTCTAAATATTTGTTGTTCCTGATAAAATCTTCCTTAAAATCTTTTCAACTAATCCACACCAACGAGTGTGTCTTGACTCTTCACCTTCATGCAACAAACTGACATTACCGGTTTACAGTGCAACAGGATTTATACTTACATATACTCATTTCGCTATAGATTTTCAAGACATCCAGATATCACATATAATACATATATTTGTATACATGCAATACCCATTTACTCTCAAACGCGAAATAGGCAATACTGTGGGACCATAGAAGCTTTATGTACGTGTAATGGGTGATGATTTAAAGTGAGGCGAAGGTCTGGGCAGTAGCTGGGTACAAAGCAGCGGTCTTTGAGCTATTTAAACGTTTGGCGCTCTATCAGCTGAGATAAGACAGACCCAACCTCTACCAAGGGCCATCATTTCACCTCAGTAAAGCTCGATCGCCACAGTATGTTTGTCGTAACATTAGGTATCCAAGTGGGTTTTCTGCTGTCAGTCCTAATCATACTGAAACAGAAGAAGAGGAGATGGTTACATGACACCTGAGCTTTATCTGTGATTACTGTAGTCAGTTGGATAGATGGTTAGCAGCTGGGCCTCGTAACTCGGCTGGCAGACAGCCGAAATAGTAGTACAGGAGTCGCTGTTTCAAATCCTAGAGGGACTCAAATTTTAATTCCACTTCATTCATCAACCACTACTTCAATAAAAGCCTGTCAATCCAGGAATATTTCAGAAAGTCTCACCATCAATGCATATCTGTGTATAAACTTGGATATTTATCACTTTATCAACTTATGTTTGCTACAGTAAAATTATCAATTAGGAAACCACTGAAAACTACAATGGAGTACTAGATAGCTGTACCATCCTTGTTTGAGAATCTTCAGCCACACGCATACTCTACCCCTCAGCTAAGGATCCAATCGAGGACCTTCAGGCAACAATTTCAGTTAAAAGGCCAGTTCATGAATTCTAACTTCTGCCAATTCACAGTGTATACAGCTTCCATCAGCTAATATCAATGGCGAGTATTCTTCCTCATTCCCTACTCAGTGGACCCCATTGGTTACCACTTCCCACTGTAAATTCAGGCAACCTTGTCCTGAAGTGGGTCCACTGAGCTGGGTCTGAGGACAAACACTAGCCGATAACATTGGCTGGAGGTCACACTATA